TTCCTCCTAAGTACTGCTTTAGCACAATCTCACAAATTGTGGTGCCTTTCTTTTAAATTTCAGTTTCCAATTTTTTCTAATTTCCTTCCTACCTTTTTTTTTTTTTTTTTTTTTTTAAATCCAAACGTAATTTAGAAGTATTTAACTTAGTTTCTAAATATTTGGGGATTTTCCAGGGAACTTTCTTTTATTGACTTCTAATTTAATCTCTGTGGTCAAAGGACATACTTTGTATGACATGAATCTCTTTGGCCCAAAATATGGGTAGTCTTAGTAAATGTTCCCTTTGCACGAAAGAAGAATGTGTATTTCGCTATTGGTATGGGGGTGTTCTATAAATATCAGTCAGGTCTTATTCAAGTGTACTATATTTCTGGTTTCTGCCTACTTGTTCTGTCAGTTATTAAGAGAGTTATTCTATCAGTATTGGATTTGTCTGTTTTTCCTTTTAGCTCTACCAGTTTTTGCTTCATGTATTTTGTAGCTCTGTATTAGGATTGCTATGACCTCTTGATGAATTGACTCCTTTGTCATTGTGAAACGACTTTCTTTATCCCTGGTAATTAATTGTCTTTGCTCTGAATTTACTCTAATAATATAGTCCTTCAGCTTTATTTTGATTGGTACTAGTATGGTATATCTTTTTCCATCCTTTTACTTTTAACCTATTTGGGTATTTATATTTACTAAAGTACATTTCTTATAGATAACATAACAGTTGAGTTTTGTTTGTTTTTACAAAAAGTCAAGTCTTAATGATTTCTGCTTTAAATTCAAATGTTTAGAACATTAACATTTTCTGTGGTAATTGTTATGGTTAGCTTTGAGTCTCTCACCTTGCCATTTGTTTAAGAATAGTTTTAGACTTACAGAAAAATTGAGAAGATTGAGTATGGAGAGCTCTCAGTTCCTTCTATTTTTTTAAATCCTCACCTGAGTACATGTGTTTATTGATTTTTTTTTCTTCTGAGAGAGAGAGACAGACAGACAGACAGATAGACAGACATGGATTGGTTGCCTCTCTGGGAATCGAACTTGCAACCCAGGTATATGCCCTGATTGGGAATCAAACCCTGGAGACCTTTTGGTTTATGGACAACACTCCAGCCAACTAAGCCACACCTGCAGGACAGTACCTTCTATTCTTAACAATCTTACATTATTAGTATGATATATCTGCCACAAATTCTAATCCAGTATTGGTACGTTTTACCTATTCCAGGATACCAAATTACATTTAGTTGTCATGTCTTCTTAGGCTCCTCTAGGCTGTAACAATTTCTTTTTTTTTTCTTTTTTTAGTAAATCTTTATTGTTCAGATTATTACACTTGTTCCTCTTTTTTTCCCCCCATAGCTCTCCTCCACCCAGTTCCCACCCCACCCTCTGCCCTTACCCCCCCCCCCACTGTCCTCATCCCTAGGTGCACAATTTTTGTCAAGACTCTTCCCGCATCTTCCACACCCCTTTCCCCACCAAGAATAGTGAGTCCATTCCCTTTCTATGTCCCTGATTCTATTATAATCACCAGTTCATTCTGTTCATCAGGTTATTTATTCACTTGATTCTTAGATTCACTTGTTGATAGATGGATATTTGTTGTTCATAATTAGTATCTTTACCTTTTTCTTCTTCTTCCTCTTCTTAAAGGATACCTTTCAGCATTTCATATAATACTGGTTTGGTGGTGATGAACTCCTTTAGCTTTTCCTTATCTGTGAAGCTCTTTATCTGACCTTCAATTCTGAATGATAGCTTTGCTGGATAAAGTAATCTTGGTTGTAGGTTCTTGGCATTCATCACTTTGAATATTTCTTGCCACTCCCTTCTGGCCTGCAAAGTTTCTGTTGAGAAATCAGCTGACAGTCGTATGGGTATTCCCTTGTAGGTAACTGAGTTTCTTTCTCTTGCTGCTTTTAAGATTCTCTCTTTGTCTTTTGCTCTTGGCATTTTAATTATGATGTGTCTTGGTGTGGTCCTCTTTGGATTCCTTTTGTTTGGGATTCTCTGTGCTTCCTGGACTTGTAAGTCTATTTCTTTCACCAGGTGGGGGAAGTTTTCTGTCATTATTTCTTCAAATAGGTTTTCAATATCTTGCTCTCTCTCATCTTCTGGCACCCCTATAATTCTGATGTTGGTACGCTTGAAGCTGTCCCAGAGGCTCCTTACACTATCTTCGTATTTTCGGGTTCTTTTTTCATTTTGCTTTTCCGGTTGGGTGTTTTTTGCTTCTTCGCATTTCAAATCTTTGCCTTGATTCTTGCACTCCTCTGGTCTGCTGTTGGGAGTCTGTATAATATTCGTTATTTCAGTCCATGTATGCTTAATTTCTAGTTGGTTCTTTATCACAACATCGAGGGTCTCATTAGATTTCTTGAGGATCTCAATAGCTTTATCGGCGGCTTCTAGACAGTTCTTGAGAGACCTTAAAAGTGTGGTTCTGAACTCAGTATCCTCCATTGACAGTTTTGTCCTGTTTCTTTGTCTCCGCATTTTTTATGCTTTCTTGGTGCACCCCCTAGTGGTCCTTGTGCGCAGTCTTATTGTAGTTAAGCCTTGATTGTTGTAGTTAATACTAGGGGGATTTGACCTCCAGGCCAAGTGGCTATGAGAATCAGCTGTGTCTGCAGTGGGAAAACTTCTGTCCTCTAGGGAGGTGCTAATCTAGCCTTTGCCTGAGGCTATCTGGCAAATGGCTCTGCACAGGGCTTGTGCGGGGCGGGTCGCACAGGATCAACAGAGCGGGTGGAGGGAGCAGTTATGGCTGCTCTCAATCCCGTCCCCAGAGGCTCTGCCTCTCAGAGTCCCAGCAACCGCTGCAAACCTCGGAGAGAAAGCTGCCCTCGAGTTCCAACCGATGCCAGACAGTCCCGCTTCTCCGGCTTGAGTCCTGGTCCCTAGAGACTCGCCCAGAACTGGAGCTCAGAATATGAGACTCCCTCCCGATTGAAAACGACAACCGCGCCCTCAGCTACCAGCCTGCTCCGCGCGTACCTCCGCACCTTTGTATTTTCCGCACTGTGCCTCCTCTGAGTCTCTTTCCTTCTAGTTGAAGAATTTCCCCTCAGCCAGTCTTCCTGTGGTTCTGGGCGATGTCCGTTCTGTCTTTTAGTTGTATTTGTGAAGTGGTTGTTCCAGGCAGCTAACTCTGGTGTTTACCTATGCCGCCATCTTGGTTGATCTCCTGTAACAATTTCTTAGACTTTTCTTGCCTTTGATGACCTTGATAGTCTTAAGGAGAACTGATAAATTATTTTGTGTGTGTGTGTGTTTTTTTTTAAATATATATACCTTTTTTTTTTTTTATTGATTTCAGAGAGGAAGGGAGAGGGAGAGAAAGATCAATGATGAGAGTCACTGATTAGCCCTAGCTGGTTTGGCTCAGTGGATAGAGTGTCGGCCTGTGGACTGAAGGGTCCCGGGTTTGATTCTGGTCAAGGGCACATGCCTGGGTTGTGGGCTCGATCCCCACTAGGGGGCGTGCAGGAGGCAGCTGATCAATGATACTCTCTCATCATTGATGTTTCTCTCTCTCTCTCTCTCTCTCTCTCTCCCCCCCCCCCTTCCTCTCTGAAATCAATAAAATATATACATTAAAAAAAAAAAAAGAATCACTGATTAGGTGCCTCCTGCACATCCCCTACTGGGGATCGAGCCCACAACCCAGGCGTTTGCCCTTTACTGGCATTGAACCTGGGACCCTTCAGTCTGCAGTCTGACGCTTTATTCACTGATCCATACCAGCTAGAGCTGAATTATTTTGTATGATGCTCTTCTATTCCTGGTGGAATTTGTTTGATTTTTTTTTCATGATCATACCAGAGTTATGGGTTTGGGAGATAAAAAGACCACAGAGATTAAGTGCCATTTTTATCCCATCATGTTCAGAATACTTAGTATCAGCATGATTTATCATTGTGATATTGACCATGACCACCTGCCTGAAGTAGGCTTATTAGTTTTCTCAATCTTAAAGTTTTCTTTTAAGGATCTGTTTATTTAGTGTTTTCAGTAGCATCCCTGTGACTCTACAATTTCTCACTTGTGACTTCGATTATCTCAAACTTTAAAAGTGCATTTATAAGGCTCTCGTGTAGGAATCGTGTGGTCTTTACAGCCTGTATGTTTATTATCCTCATCCTTGATTTTTTGGCCTGTATTTATCTTTTCCGTATCTTGATTCTTTCCTTTATATTTTATTATTGCTTTATTATCTGTGTGCTTCTAGGCTGTCTGACAATTTGTTTTTAGAATTGAGACAAAGCATAAACTTGTACATATCATCATAATAAGAGGCTAATATGCAAATAGTCGTTATGCCGTAACACCATGATGCATTAACACATTAAGCGCACTGTCAGTCACCCGTGACTGACACTATACTTTCCATCCGGAAGACAAAACAGGCTGGGTGCTTACCGTGTTAAGGACTGATCAGCAGGGACCTGAGGCTGCGTGGTGCCAGGCCAGGGCCAGGGGACCTGAGGCTGCGCCCCCTGCTCCAGCACCGGGGGACCTTAGGCTGCGCCCCCCGAGGTTGGCGCCGGGACATGAGGCTGCACTCAGCGGAGCTTGATGTGGGTGGGCCCAGCCAGGTCTTGGTGTCGCCCAGTGGGGGTGGGGCTGGCCAGACACTTCTATTATAGAAAAAGGGCAAATAGCAGTATTAAAATATTTCCTCTAATTAATTCCCTTTTAATGTGCACGAATTTCATGCACCGGGCCACTAGTTATGTGATAAAAACCATCTGCTAAACTTTGGTAATAAATCTGATACTCAGATTATTTTTTGAAACTGTGTTTCTCTTTGGGGTGAGGGTTTGTGTTTTTTTTCTTTTTTGCTTCTGCTTTCCTTTTTTAATGGGTAGACCAGCATTTTTCTTATATTCTCTATACACTAGATGACTTAATATGTATATTGAAAACATTAGAATTGCTGTACTGTATCATCTGCTTGGTAAATTTTAAGCCATTTTTCCTGAGTTGATTATTTTGTATAGGAGGAAATGAGTCTCAATCAGAAAGCCAGGAAGACCCCCGAGAAGTACTTAAAAAAACATTGGAATTCTGCTTATCCAGGTAAGGACGGTAGTAGTGTTTCTAGTACCTAATACTTGTGGTATTGTGTACTGGCTATTATATACAGACTAGAGGCCCGGTGCACAAAATTCATGCATGGGTAGGGTCCCTAGAGGCTGCCGGCCAGGGCCCTCCTTCATTCTGTGCCACCCCCTGGTGGTCAGCACACGTCATAGCAAGCGATCGAACTCCCAGTCGGTCGAACTCCCGAGGGGACACTTTGCATACTTAGCTTTTACATATATAGATGTGACGCTTTACATAGAAGGAGTGTATATCTGTTACTATCTATGTCTGTATATGTCTGTTAACAGGAAATCTGGAATAGTGAATAAGTAACAACCTCCAACATGTTGAAGAACTCTAGGCCAGAGCCCTCCACAATTATCCACAAATTCATCTTGAATCGTTATCTGGGTTGCTTTTTGAAATTTTGATTCCTGGGCCCCCTCCATACCCAGACTCTGAGTTATGAGGCCTTAGGTTGTCTGTCTTACAAAGACATTTTTTAGCACACTAAAGTTTGAGAACACATTTCCTGTACTAGTTTTTAAAATATGCCAAACGTTGCAATAGGAGATTGTTTTACTCATGCAGCATTCATATTTTTAGGTGTGTCCTCCCCCGCCCCCCAAATATTTTTTCTATTGAAAAGTAGAGGCACTCTTTAATAATAAAATTTCTTCTGTTTCTGACAGAAAAAGAAAAGTAGAGTAGAACATTTAAAGTTCAAATGGAAGAATGGGACAAACAAGAAGATGTAATTGAGTTAAATGTAATCTTTTTGAGTGAGAAGATAACCCTTTGGCACATGTAAAATTTTATCAGTATTCGTGGTTTTTCAGTTTTTTCTCTGGGCCTGCCTTAATACTTGAGAATGTTCATCATAGGCCAAAATACCAGGAAGAAGCTCATAGTCACCCAGACTGGTTATCTGTGACTTAGCTTGTGATCCTTAAGTCATGTTATGATCAGGTGTTCTTTTTTTAATCCTGGTTGCTAAAAAGTGCTGGGAAGTGTTTCAGACTGAACAGCAAGCACCTTGGTCACCAACCTTTCCTGGTCTTTTCTTATTTTTCTTATTTTCTTGTTCTTTCAATTGTATTTCCTTTAAAAAATTGTGTTTGTGTTTTTAATAAGCTACTTAAATACTCTTTAGAACAGATAGCTATAAAATATATTTTGTAAAGATTTACTTGCTCATTAGTTTTGGTTGTATAAAATGCAGTATACTTTTACTTTTACTCTCTCTGCTCCCCAAATGTCTTTGAAAAAAATTGACCTATGGCAAATAACAGGTGGGTTTGGGTATAAACTAACTCTGAAGTGACGTCACACCACACGCATATCCTTGTAAGGCTCTTAAAGAAGTGTTAATTAAGAGAGATTGTCTTCTTTCTGCAGGGAGAACCTTGCTAGTGACATGTACCTTATATCGCAGATGGATAGTGATCAGTATGTGCCAATCACCACAGTGGCTAATCTGGACCACATCAAGAAGCTCAGCACTGACCTGGACTTGATTGTCGAAGTGCTGAGATGTAAGTGAATGACAGTCTAGGATGCATTTTACCTGGTATTGACATTTTTTTTTTATCAGTGTGACTGCTAGATCCAATGCTAAGGTCCTTCATGGCAATTGGAGTCTTCCCTGAAATATGGACCTTTCTGACCAGTCCCCGTTGTGGTGAAGTGCTCACAGCACTGGGCATTGATGGGCTTCATAATTGATCATAGATCTAGGGAGTGGAAAAGGCTTGTGGAGAAATGAAAAGAAGCTCTGAGTTTGGTGGAATTGTGTTTTTCCTTATAGGATTTTGTGAATGAGGTTGTTTTTTAGACATTTGGCAACATCAAAGGAAGGTGTAAATCAGAGGCCCACAGTGATTCAGGAAATGTGAATAAAAATAGTTACCTGCCATGTGCGTCTGAAGGGTCGTGGGTTTGATTCCTAGTCAAGATCACACCTCTGTTAGAGGTTCCATGGCACTGGCCCGTGCGGGAGGCAACCAATCGATGTGTGCGTCTTGTGTTGATGTTTCTTTCTCTCTCTTTTTTCCTCCCCCCCCCCCTCCCCACCCTGCTCCCTCCCTTTCATCCTCTCTAGAAATCAATGAAAAAAATAATCTTGGGTGAGGATAAAATAAAAATGTATAGTTTGCTGGTGCCCTGATTTGTTTTGCAGATTGAGTTTTCTGCAACCTAACCATTTTATTTATTTTTTTGAAACCACTTTATTGAGGTATAATTGACATATAGTGAACTGTGCATATTTTAAATGTGCAGTTGAATCAGTTTGGACATACATATGCATCAGTGACATCTTCACCGTGATCAAGATTACAAACATGTCCACCACTGCCCAAAGTTTCCTGGTGCCCTTTGTAATATTTCTATCTATCCCCTCCTACCCAGAATGGCTTCAGTGGGAATTAGTTTTATATTAAGTGTATGATATGTCTGATTTTTTTAAAATGGTATTATTTTTAATTATAAAAATTCAGTTTATAATATTGTTTACAAGTACTGGGTGAATAATTTCTATAATCTCCCTCCTCAGGACTGCTCTACTGAATAGCTCTGATGGGCGTCCACAAAGAACACAGTACGATGTGCTCCCCCACCCCACCCAAATATTTCTAAATGATGATGGGTCATCACTGTGCCCCGAATTAAAGCCCCATTTCTCTGAGTTACTGCCATGACTATCCATCTGACTCTTATGCAAAAGTGTTTACATATTCTCCCTGGTTTAGTTGTACTGTGGACAGCCAGTGAAGATTTTTTTTTTCTTGTGTCCATTTAGTAGTAGACAAAGAAGAACATCTTATCTTACAAACATAGTTGGATATTCTATTCACAAATGAAGGTTTTCTTCTATTTTCTGTTCCTAGGCAAATGTCATAAGGTCATTAAATTATTGAAACAAATAATGAAGAAACTGGCAAAAACATAATTCATGAAGTTTGAATTCTGAAAACTAGTGTTGTATTTTCCAGTATTGCTTTTGTTTTGGAATGTTCACTTAGAACTGGAACCTATTTTACATATTAGTTGAGATTGGTTCCACCTGACCCACTTGTAAAGGCCAGCAGCTTTCTTTTTTTCTTTTTTAAAATACAGTTTTGTGTTGATTTCAGAGAGGAAGGGAGAGGGAAAGAGAGAGAAACATTAATGATGAGAGAGAATCATGATTGGCTGCCTCCTGCACGCCCCACACTGGATCGAGCTTGCAACCCAGGCATGTGCCCTGACCGGGAATTGCAACATGATGTCATGGTTCATAGGTCAATGCTCAACCACTGAGCCAAGCCAGCCAGGCATCAGCAACTTTCTTAATCTTTACTTCTTATGAATTCAAAATGAAAAATCATAATAAGACAGAAAATTATTTTATTTGGGGGGACTTGTAGAAAGGAAAAGCCATTAACCCTGAATTGTAATTGTTAGTTATTTGAGCTGTTTAGAACCTTTGTTTCATAGTGTTAACATTGATTATAGCTCTTATAGGACTTTTAAATCATGTTCTATAGTTCTGAGAAATGTAATATGTAAGAGTAGTTTAAAACCTTTCACTAATTTACAGTGTATACAGGTTTTTTTTCAATGTGTTTAGTTCCATAGTGTAACATCCTATTGGCGTATCTATATTATATCATAATGGAATGTAAATGACTGGTGTGTTTTAATATTTTGTTTTACCATGCATTTTTCTTCTCTTTATAGCTTTACCTTTAGTCCAAGTGGATGAGAAGGGAGAAAAAGTAAGGCCAAATCAAAATCGTTGCATAGTAATATTACGTGAAATTTCTGAATCCACCCCTATAGAAGTAAGTAATTTCTCCTTACAAGGCTACTTTAAAGTTTTTTTTGTGTGGTTTTTTGTTTACTTCTGTGTTTTTTGAGGAGTGTATTTTAAAGAATTCTTATGTACAGTAACACTTTCACCAGGATTTACACACTGATGATTTCAATATGATTCATATGTGCGAGTGGTTCTCAAAGTGTTTGGTCTCAGGACTTCACTACAAACTTTACATTTTAAAAAATAATTGTGATTACAGTATTGAGAAATTAAAAGAAAAGGTTTAAATATTTATTTACTTTAAAGTAATAATAATAAACCCACAAGATAAAGAACTTCACTTTTCAAAACAAATATTTTCATGACAAGGATATACTGCAAAGAGTGCAGTGAGCAAGATTAACTTGTGCTTCATTCCAGCTGTTGGGCCCACATCAGTGCAGATGTTGTCTTAGTAAAAAGGCAAAGGCATCTTTTAATAAAGTAATGAATGTTTTTAATCCTCACCTGAGGGTATTATCCCATTGATTTTTAGAGAGAGTGGAAGAAGGGGGTAGGGTGGGGAGAGAGGGAAAAACATCAATATGAAAGAGACACATCAATTGGTTGCCTCCCGAATGCACCCTGATTAGGACCAGGGATCAAGCCTGCAACCAGCATACATGCCCTTGCCTGGAATCTAACCTGGGACCCTTCAGTCCTCAGGCAATGCTCTATCCAGTGAGCCAAACTGGCTAGGGCATAAAGGCATCTTTTTTATGTAAATGGAATAGAGATCATAATTTGAGAAGTTCTAACTTAGGCAATAATTTTAGAAAACCACAGCATTTGATTGAGTTGTGAAAAGTAATGTTAGAGAATTGCTATAATATATGTGACATATCCGAATGTGTCGGAGCTTTACACTAATCTGAGTTGCATGTGTGTAGTAAAACATACTGATGGTCGTGCCTTGAGAGAATGAAGAAAAGTGTTCCTATAGAGCATTAAGAATATTTTTTATTTGATTGGAGTTTTCTCATTATAGGTCACATCATTTTTTTTTCCCATACCTGATAAACTTTGAATGGATGCCAGGCATTTTGGGCTGTAATGTTTTATAGTCCTTCCTCTTGACTATTCTTGAGCTTTGTTTTGAGATTCAGTTGTCTGACTTGGAAGCAGTTTCATCCTTAGGGGCAGTGGTTAGGTGGGAGCAAAGCTGCCTTTCTTCTAGAGCTGATTTATCTATGCTGACTGAGGCAGCACCCTCTGCATGCCCTGAAGAGGGCCCTGGAGGGGCTGGACTGAGGCTAGGCTGTGCTCAGCTCAGTTCACCCTCCTAGCACTGCGGCCTGTTAACTCCAGGTGTGAGCTAGGTTCTCCCAAGCTCACCTGTGTTGCATGGCCTGAGGTCCATTGTCTGAAAACTGTTATTCCACGTATTTTGTCTTTTATTTTTGTTTCATGTGGGAGGCTAAATCTGGCTTATCTTGGCCAGAAGCAAAAGTCCAGCTAATTTTCAAATTTCTTAAATCCCCAGCCTACTGGTAAAATTAAATTATATTTTCACATTAATTTAGATTAATGGTATCTTGGGAGTAGAGAAAGCTGTCAATAAGTTGTGGACTTATGTTCCTATAGCAGTGGGACCTCAGTTCTGGAAGCCACACTGAACCTCCTGAGCTATTTTGAAGGAGCAATTTACTGGATATCAGTGTGTTAGACTCTGTCTAAGGATCTGTCTTGAGAGCATTGCATCATTTGTATTTCATGTGGACAAAAGGTGGCATGGTTGAAAATTAATTTCTAACCTTTCTATTTCCCATAGGAAGTAGAAGCACTATTTAAAGGAGATAATTTACCAAAATTTATAAACTGTGAGTTTGCCTATAATGATAATTGGTTTATTACATTTGAAACAGAAGCTGATGCCCAACAGGTAAGCTTCTCTCCCTCAAGAAGTACAAAGTTTGCCAATACTTAACAATTAGGTACATAGTGGGACTAAATTTGGGCAGTGATACTGCTATCACATTTCAGGGTTAAGTTTGAATATAAAGTTCAGAGGAAATCAAGTTGTAGCAACTTAAATAGGTGTGTGTTTGTAGATAGTTTTGTAGAAATATGAAAAGCAAGTGACATTATAATCTCAGGATATGTAAGACAAGCAGCCTAGAACATTAGTTCTGTTCTTGTATCTAGGCAGAGACAGATCTTACTAGTTGGCAAGTGTTTTCGGAAATTTGAACCTGACCTTATCTTTCACTTGGCATCACATGTGTTACAAGATACTTGAAAGAGCACCAAGGCTCTGGGAGGAGACACAGGAGTTAGGATGGTCTCCCTGCCCTGAAAGGAAGACTTTTCTCTGGGGAAACAGTAGCATGTATAAAGGAAGCTCTCAGTGTTAAATGACAGAAACAAGCATCTGAAAAGGTGGACTTATAATTGGATTCGGGGGGAGGTTACTAGGAGGAGCAGGTAGCAAGTGGGTCAGAGCCTTCAGTGTTATGGAGTAGGATTTGGAAAAGAATAAAGACTTTAAAAAAATATATTTTCTTTATTTCAGAGAGGAAGGAAGAGGGAGAGAGCGATAGAAACATCATGATGAGAGAGAATTATTGATCAGCTGCCTCTTGCACGCCCCCATACTGGGGATTAAGCCTGCAACCTGGGCATGTGCCCTGGCTGGGAATGGAACCATGACCTCCTGGTTCATAGGTCAGTGACCCTCAACCACTAAGCCATACCAGCCGGGCAAGAATAAGGATTTTTGAATATTGCAATCCTAGTTTTTTCCTTTTCCAAACTGTAATCCCAGTTTCAACTTGTAGTTATTATTAGGAATTTAGCACCCATTTGTTGTTTCCCCTGGGTTAGGATTCTAGCCTGTGGTCTCTGGGAGCCTTTCATGTTATCTATTAATACTTACAAAATGTATACAGATGTTGGTTGTGAGAATTTTGGGTAGAGATTCCATAGATCTTATCAGGTTGTTTTTTTAAAAGGAATCTGTGGCCCAAAAAAGGTTAAGAATCACAGTTCTAGGTCTTGTCCATTGTATTTTAACGATATAATTCCTTGTCTGAGGTATTAACTGTCAATTCATCTTACTTGTAAGATTAACACCATGGTATTTTGGATGACTTTATCCTTAGGCTTATAAATATCTGCGAGAAGAAGTCAAAACTTTTCAAGGAAAACCAATTAAGGTAAGCAAGACTACTGGTTATACTTTATTTGTAAATCCGTATTTTAAAGTATTCTAATAGACATTTATTATATTTTCACACAGGCACGGATAAAAGCAAAGGCAATAGCTATAAACACATTTTTGCCAAAGAATGGATTTAGGCCCCTGGACATGAGCCTTTATACGCAGCACCGTTACACAGCGTCCTTTTACTTACCTCCCATCTATAGCCCCCAGCAGCAATTCCCTCTCTATAGCCTGATTGCTCCCCAGACGTGGTCAGCAACACACAGCTATCTCGATCCACCCTTGGTGAGTCCTGTCTTTTCTTGTCTCTTATGTGATAGTTGTGTTGTGGACACTGCACTAGATGCTTTGAAGGATAGTGAACCAGATAACGTCTACAGCTTGCTATAGAAAAATACCTTCTGGTTCTGTGATGGGTTTTAAATTTAATTGGGAGATAAATAAGGAGCCATGTGTATTTAAAAACTTTCAAACATTGTACTCAGTCCTTTGCCCAGTTTGCTTGCCCTCCTGTCTAGCATTTCTTTTCCTAAATGTAAGGAAATGTATACCTAGTAAAACAAAGTATGATGCAAGCTCTGGGGTGGGTAGCAGGGGAGCTGTGAGCACGAGGTGGTCTGGGGGAATGTTTTTAAGGAGAACAGTGTTCTCATAGATTTCTAACAGTCAAAGATGCATAGAAGACAAGCCATCTTGTAAGTGTTACTTCTCACATCAGCCCTATAGTCACTTGGCATAATTAATTTTTACATATTTTGAGCTCTGTTAAAGCCTGTGGTTAGAATTCATAGATTTGTAATGGATCCAGTCCTTTTTCTTAAGCTGTTCTGGTGCAGATGTTAGAAAGATTGGGTAGGCTCTGGGCATGAGTTGGATGTAGTGGATGTGTAAGGGCTAATCTACAGCAGGAAAAGAAGTGGCCATTGCCCCCCTGCCTGGGAGGTGGAGTGGGTTGGTTGAAGGGAGGTTTGCATTGGGTTGCCAGCAGGTTTTGTTGGAACCATAGCGATGGAAGAGTAGAGTGTGTGGGAGGTTGTGGTCAGAAGCAAGAATTGAGTTTAAAATTTCAGGGATATGGCTGTGGACCACATCAAGGAAAATTGGGATGATCCATCAGCTGTGTGGGAAATGAAGGATGTGAGCCATGCCCAATCATATGGGATATTACCTAAGGCTTGTTACCACTGATTGATGGATGCAAGGAGGGTGGTAACTGAAAAGGGTGAGCCTGAGAGAAGGAGGGTAGACTCAGCTGGATGGTGGGTGCCTGTTACCTACTAGAATGTAAAGATGTGTGTCCATGAAGGAATAGTCTGGAAAAATCAAATGTGTAAAGCGGGTGATTATTGCAAAAATGGAACAGAGGCAGAATTCTGTGAAACTTATAAGTAGGGGTTTATCAGATATAATATCATTCTCTAAGTGGAACATATCAGAAGGGCTGGAAGGGGAAGGAAGCTGCATGAGAATGGCATGTGCAGAGGTTCCTGGGGTGGTTGTGGCGTGGTGAGTGTTTCTGAGCTGAGATGGGGACTGGGTAGATGAGCTTTGTAAGCTCTACGTGTACATGTTCTTAAATGTGTCTTGAGGTGTGTGGTCTGCATCTGTGGTGTGTGGGACATGAGCAAGACAGATGGGGAGAGAGACGAGTCGGGAGAGGTCCTTATGGGCGCTGAGCTCCTAGAACCACTCAGTGAAAGACGATGGCAGACAAGTGCTAACGTGCAAAATTGTGTCTGCCTCTGAATGAATCCTAATGTTAAGAAAATGTACTACTTTTTTTGAAGTATTTACTATATTCTGTACAAGTGTACTGCTAGCCATATAGTTAATATGTCATGGGAGACCTGTAAAAGGAAAGAAAGTCCGTAACCTCTTGTGTTGAATAATTTCTCCAAAAGACGCCACCGCCATGCTTATGCTGTTTAGTTCTTGAGTTAGGTTGTGTTTCTACTTTATATAGTAATATGTATCCCCATCCAGAGTGGGGTGCTTTGGGATCCTAGATCAGTTGTCTGGCCATTTGGGATGGCTCCTGGTCTGATATGTGAGGCTCTTTGCTTGCTCTAAAACACACTGCATTTTTGAGCAGAAGTGAAGAGATGATGCTTATTAGTTCTCAGAAAGTTATGTTAAATTACTGTGTTAGCAAGCAATTTATTTTTAAACTCTTGAGCAAAATTGTTTAAATACCAGAGTTCTACATGTAAAAGTTCATACGTGAAAGGATTCCTCTTGATGAGTCTTCCGATGAAAAACAATTGTCAGAATCTAGTTTTGGGGTGATTGACATATTTCTAAATAGTCTGATTCTTTCAAATTGTGGAATTTCTCGTTATTGGATTGGGGATTCTGTCAAAGTTTCAAGTCTGTCTCTCTCCACCAGCATTTTGAGGAATTCAATTAAAGTCATTGGGGTTAAGGAGAAATTTGCTGACTTCTTATCAGTCTGGAGATAGTGTTGCAGTTATTAGGTTGAGCACTTAGGGTTTCCAGACAAGCATGTGGGGTCTTGGCAGGTGCTTCCCTCTCTTGTCAATTTCCATGTGTGGGGATCCTCTTCTTGGAGGCTTGCTGGGAGGATCATTTGAAAAAGCCTTGGAAAAGGTCTTAGCCCCAGCCTGACTTTGGCCATTAGCAATAATCTTACAGAGTGCTTTTCCTAAAGGAATATCCTATATAATAAAAGCGTAATATGCAAATCAACTTAAGGGCAGCATGACCAGGTGGCGGGGGGGGGGGGGGTGGCGGCAGGGGGGCCAGCCGGCAGTCGGCACCAGGCCAGCCAAAGCGTGTGCCAGTGGGCAGAGGGAGGGGACAGTGATGGGGGGAGAAGGGGAGGGGGTGGTGACCAGCGGCAGCAGAGGGGTAATGGGGGTGGTGTGGGCTGCTCTCTGGCCAGTGCCCCCCTGATCACCTGCCCTGTCGCCTCCCGCAGAGGGAGGCCACCAGCAGTGGCAGTGGCGGGGCAATGTGGGGCAGGGCCCAGCGCTGTCCCCTGATCAGCCTGCCTAGTTGCCTCCCGCAGAGGAAGGCCAGACTGCAGCTTAGGCAGGGGAGCGGGCCTAAGCCATCAGTCGGACATTCCCTGAGGGCTCCCGGACTGTGAGAGGGCTCAGGCTAGGCTGAGGAACCCTGCCCGCCACCCCAAGTGCATGAATTTTCGTGCACCGGGCTTCTAGTATGAAGTATAAAATGGAACATAGACTCCTTGACACATCAAGGAATGACATGTGTTACCATCTTAGGCAGTGTTAACCAACTCGAAGTCTGGTTATGGTTTGTTGACTTATTTTTGTTTTTAATGAATCTAGGTAACTCCATTTCCAAGTACTGGATTTATAAATGGATTTACGTCTCCAACCTTCAAACCCGCAGCAACTCCTCTGGCTTCACTCAGACAATACCCTCCGAGAAGCAGGCAAGTTGCGTGAGTCACTAAAATGCTGTTTTTCTACCATTTGTAATAATAGGTCACTGCCACACTGTATATTTTAAAAGCAAAGCAAAACAAAATGTATTAAACCTTGGTCGTTCTAACCATGTGCATGACTCCTGTTTAACTAAGAGGCTGTTCCTGATGATTGCTAATGATATACTTGACCACTGTAGTAATGTTCATCCAAGATAAAACTACTTGAAACATTTGATTACTCAAAATGATGCTGTAGTGCCTACATACAGGGGGTTCTCTTTAGACAAAGTCTTCTGGGGTCAGCGTGCAACCATGTGAGCCTGCTTTTCATTTGAAAATTGATACTGTAGTTATAGGTTTGCACTGTCAGCACCATCAAACATACCATGCGTCAACTATTCTTACACTTTAATATTTTTTCTAAATAGAGAGCACATTTTACCTTAGACATTCCTGTGTGAGCATGCTCATTTCATCATGCTGTGATCACTCATAATTGAACCTTTATAAACATTTCATTCGCAGGAATCCTAGTAAATCCCATCTGCGCCACGCCATTCCTAGTGCAGAGAGAGGAGCTGGGCTGTTAGAAAGTCCATCAATATTTAACTTCACCGCGGATCGGTTAATTAACGGTGTGCGGAGCCCACAAGCAAGGCAGACAGGCCAACCTAGAACCCGCATACAGAACCCTCCAGCTTATGCCAAGAGAGATACAGGAACCGGGCGGGTGGAGCAGAGCAGTCTTGAATCCTCTCCTGGTTTAGGTCGAGGCAGGTGAGTTACTCAGAACTGTTGTTGGGTGGGTACTATATAATGATAAACTGTTAATATTTTTAAATTCCATTAATTGAGATGTTTTTTATAATCATTACTTTCAAATACATCACAGAAAATTAAATTGAAGGCTCTAACCATCAAAGGTTTCATATAGTTACTCAGAGGGGTTACTTTTTTAAAAAATATTTTTTTATTGATTTCATGGAGGACAGGAGAGATAGAAACATCAATGATGAGAGAATCATTAATTTGCTGCCTCCTGCAGGCCTCCCACTGGGGAATTAGTTTGTTCTCTCAGTGGTTTATTCGATACAGGATGTCAGGAAGGAAATTCCCTCTTACAGATAACTAGCTGAACTTGCCTAAGGTGTTTTGGTGTTTTTTTTTTAAACCGAAGGCTCCCAAGTTTGATTCTGGTCAAGGCCAAGGCTGTATCCACTGAGCCAAACCAGCTACGGCCAGAGGGGTTACTTTTAGAGCAGAGACCTAACTGGTCACATCTTTGTTGTAATGTAAACTATGGATGGAATGGAACCATGTTAGGTTACAGTCATTATTTGTGGAGATGTTCAAGCAGAGTAGATACCAGACTCCACAATATGTGAGCCTCTAGTCTCCTCCCATTCCTGCCTATTCAAAGAGCCCACATTTTCTGTTCTAGTCTTGCCCCTTTTCCAACCAACAGGATCACACAATAGACAGATAATGAGTTGTGTAGCCAGGCAGACAGGAGTTTAAATTCCACTAGTACTAAGTTTATTTGCCTGTTGGTCATATTTAGGGGTGATTTCCATCCCTGGGTGGTCAGTCAGGTAATGTTGGTCCCACAATGTCTGTGGTTATCTGGATCTTTACCGCATCCTAACAGTGGGCTGTGTCCACTCTCTTTTCTCCTTTCCTTTGATGCATGCAGCTTGTTGCTGCTTGCTGTCTTACCTTCTGCCACTTGCACTCTATTAGAGGGGTGAGATTAAAAAGATGGAAGTGAGTCCAGGGCGTGTGTTCAGTCACTACTCTCTTGCCCGAGACTGGCAGATTGAAGCTGGCTTTATCCAGTTTGTTCTCTCAGTGGTTTATTTGATACAGGATGTCAGGAAGGAAACCCCCTCCTACAGATAACTAGCTCTACTTGCCTAAGGTGGTTTTTTTAAAACTACTTTGAATACTTTAGATGAACATATTTCTAAGTGTTTCATACAACATGTACAGTAGTGTCTGACATGCAGAGACTCCAGTGACATTGGTTCCTCTTTCTTCTTGACTCAACAGGTGCTTCCAGTGCAGGTTCAGGGTGTGAGGGACCAGAGGCAGTCCATTGTATTTATGGTGGTTAATCCGTATGGCTAGGCCTTGGAGGGGTTATAGGATAAAAGTTAGAATGGCTGACGACAGCATGCTGCAGAACTGTCGTGGGACTGCATATCTTCAAGAAATTTGATATAAAGTTAGTTCAGCAGGTATTGGAGGGCTGAAAGGCAAAGAGGGACACTGAGGAAATACAGACTTCAGGAAGCAGCTGCTACCCATAGGGCAGGGGGACATTGGGAGTGTTTGGGCTTATCAGACTGAGAAGCTTGGAGCAGGACTTGTGGAGCTGAAGCCAGACCCTAATGAGGGGCCTGTCATGCTGCTAGAGGGACAATGCAAAAAAATGCCACCAGATAGACAGGTTTCCAGCTCCTCTCCTTTTCTGTCTACCTGTAATGCTTACTGTTAAGAAAAGCTCCTGGCAATGGAAAGACAGGGCCTGAGGAACACCTGCCCGGGGTCATACACAGGTTAAAGGGACCTGAAGCTGAGAAGATCTGGTTGACCAGTGCTTTCCAACTGTGGCCACACGGATACGTATAATCCTCCCACAGCACTCGACTTCCAAACTACAGCAGTGATGAGTCAATGCCTTTGCCCAACATTTAGAGACTCCCATACAAATCCTCTGTACCCCGAGGACTGCAACTACCACTAGCAGGACATCAGGAGAAAGGAGTTGAGCTGGGGTGCAGCAGTACACATGACACACAAGGAAAAGACAGTCAGGAAGCCTGGTTATACTGATAGGTGGCTCCTTCCTCTTCCTCAACATTTCCTTTGTCTCTAGACAAGCCTTCCGGCACTCAGTGCTTCAGCTGGAGGGTGATCCTGTAGTTCCTGAGCCATGGTGGCTGTGTCCCCCATTAGCGCTCTCCTTTTTCTGGTTTTTGTTTTGTTTCCCATTAACTTTATGTGTTGGGCTTAAGGAGCAGTGCAAGGCTTCCCAAGGACCACACATGGTTCTCCAACCCCCTTTGTAGCAACAGCCTGCAGAGCAGTCACCCCGTCAGGTGCAGTGGCAGGAGGAATCCTAGCTGAGCAGACGCTGACTGTTATGTCACTGGTGAGAGCATTCTGCTCTGTTGACCAACACAGCCAAACCACCAGAATTCAAAGTTGTGGGCACAGGAAATAGAAATTGTGCTGGTAGAATATTGGTTGTGCTCTCTGGTGGCTGGACCTATGTGCTGCCATGGCCTAAGCTTGGTCATATGCAAAGCATATGCTGCTCTCCTGAATTAGGGCCATCTTCTGAGGGTGCTGCTGGCCCCTAGACTTGCAGTTGAGTGTTCACTCAACCAGCCTGCTCCCCATATTGGGGCACGCACCACTTCTGTTGCTATGGGATGGGCCTCTGGGTCTGACTAGCACTGCATGGGCACTAAGGTGGCATCTCCTTAGGTCCACTGAGTGGTGCTAATGGGGTGATGGCAGGCAGAAATGCTGCCTCCTCCAGGATGGGGCAGGGCTGGCACCACTAAGGTGATGATAAACAGGCTAGCCTTGGCACCGGGATCCCAAGTGTGACTATTGTGCACCTGGGGTGACCAGGAAGAGCCTGGCTGGTCACCACCTTTTTTCTCCCAGCTGTCAGAGGTCTCTGCTAAAGTGGATAATTTCAACACAGATGCCTTCACAGTGTTCCTTCCATAAGACTGCCAAGGTCTTCTGTCACCAGACTTTGAGTCTTGGACTTTGTGGGTCTATCATACAGCCAGATCCTTAGCTCCTCTGTTCAAGAACCAATAAACATCTGTATTTTCATTTCTGTAACCAGACAGTGGATAACAAATATGTTGCTTGAAGTTTTGCCCTCCGTAGTTGATCCCCCTGTACCCTAGGTTTCGGAGGCACTCCTGAGGCGATCTGGCACTGTATGGCCATAAGTAATCCAGATGTGGAATGCCTCCCCCCTTGTCCCTTTGCTGAAGGACTCCCTACAAGGGAGTGATGCACAGAACTGAAGCCCTGGTTCTGATGTGCTACTTCTGCTGCTAGTGGGTGCTAGTGCTTGTGCCTATCTCCATGGCTCAGTGCCCCATCATGATGGGTGGCTCAAGTCCATGGTCACTGACGTCTACAGTCAGGCTTTTATTTTATTTTATTTTAAATACATTTTTATTCATTTCAGAGAGGAAGGGAGAGGGAGAGAGAGAGAGAGAGAGAGAGAGAGAGAGAGAGAGAGAGAGAGAGAGAAGAGAGAGAAATATCAATGATGAGAGACAATCAGTGATCAGCTGCTTCCTGCATGCCCCCTACTGGTGATGAAGCCTGAAATCTGGGCATGTGCTCCGACTGGGAATTGAACTGTGGCCTCCTGGTTTATAGGTCAATGCTCAACCACTGAGCCACACCAGCCAGGCTACAGTCAGGCATTTAGGCTCTACTAGGAGCCAGTTCCATTTTGATGATAAATCCAATACGTTTTATCATCATTCTCTAACAAATCACCTGTGTAGTTCAGTGTCAGATTTTATACATCCTGTCATTCCAACTGAATGGATGTTCAAGATTGATAATCATAACAAAAATTTGAAATAGCCACTAGGAATATTCTTTTAATATTTTTATTTTCCAATCTAGACATCATTTTTAGTCCTTTACTATATAGTTTTTGTTTCTTTTGCTTATACTTCTTAAGGTTGGGATTTTGAATCAAAAGTCATTATAAAAGAATACAAAATCATTAGGATTAAATATGTGTGCTCTTACATGTGCCCAATGAAAAATGTTCCAAGTGGGAAACATCAGAGAGATGCAAATTAAAACTATAGTGAGCCCTGGCTGTTGTGGCTCAGATAGTTGAATGTTGTCCTATACACCAAAAGGTCACTGGTTCAATTTCTGGTTGGGACACATGCCAGGGTTGAGGGCTCACTCCCTGACAAGGGGGCGTGCACGAGGCAGTTGATTAATGTTCTGCTCTTACATCAATGTTTCTCTCTCTCTCACTCTCTGTCTTTTTCTCTCTCCCTTTCTCTCTAAAATCAAAATTTTAAAAATGTTTTTTAAATTAAAAAATAAACTTTACAATAAGGTATCACTTCACACCTTACCAGAATGGCTACCATCAATAAATCAACAAACAGGTGCTGGTAAGGATGTGAAGAGAAGGGAACCCTAGTGCACTTTTGGTGGGAATGCAGACTGATGCAGCCACTGTGGAAAATAGTATGGAGTTTCCTCAAAAAGTTAAAAATGGAACTGCCATTTGGCCCAACCATTGCATTTTTGAGAATATATCCTAAGAATCCCAAAACACCAGTCAAAAAGAATATATTCACGCCTGTGTTTATAGTAGTGTTATTTATAATAGCCAAGATCTGGAAACAGCACAGTGCCCATTAGTAGATAAGTGGATGAAAAGACTGTGGTACATTTAGACAATGGTGGAATACTATGTGGCTATTGAAAAAAAAAGGACTCTTAACTTCTTGTAACAGCAAGATGGACCTGGAGATTATTGAGCTAAGCAAAATAAGTCAGTCAGAAAGACAAATACCATATAATCTCACTAGTATGTGGCATCTAATGAACAAAACAATCTGATGAACAAAATAGAAACAAAGGCATGGATACATGGATCAGACTGACAAATGTCAGAGGGGAGGGAGGTAGAAGGTACTGGATAAAAGAAGGTGAAGAGATTAGCCAAAGAACATACATTCATAGCCCATAGACACAGACAACAGTGGTGAAGGCCAAGGGAGAGGGGGATGCAGGTGGGCAACATGGGGTGGGGAATGAGGGACATGTGTAATAGTGTCAACAACAAAAAAAAGCTCCAAGTGGGAAAAAATTAACTGTTTTGCTTTTCTGTCCTCTAGGAAAAATTCCTTTGGTTACCGGAAGAAAAGAGAGGAGAAGTTTACAGTGAGTACATCAAGCTTGTATTTTTGCAAGACATTTAAATATAATTTATATTAAGCAAGCATGAAATGTAATTGCAGTTACATTAAGAATAAATGTTAAGGCGTAATAAGGAGCATTTTAAAAGAAGTTTTCTTTTTATGTCATATCCATGAAGTGATAGCTGATATTTTTGATGTTCTAATGGGGAGAAGATGGTAGCTAGTTTTCTGAGGTAGTACATGGTGCATGTGTGTGCATGTATTGTGCAGTAGGTACAGCCAGTACATACTATGCACATGATGTAGTCTGTCTGCAGGCGTCCACATGAGTTCTTGCGTGTGGTTAACTATATAGTACTAGTGGCCCAGTGCACAAAATTCGTGCACGGGGGGGGGGGGGTGTTGTCCCTCAGCCTGGCCTGAACCCTCTCCAATCCTGGACCCCTCAGGGGATGTCTGACTGCCAGTTTAAACAACTGGCAGTCAGACATCCCTCTCGCAATCTGGGACCACTGGTTCCTAACCGCTCACCTGCCTGCCTGATCGCCCCTAACTGCCTCTGCCTGCTGGCCTGATTGCCCCTAACTGCCCCCCTGCTGGCCTGGTCGCCCCCTAACTGGTCCCCTGTCGGCCTGGTTGCCCCCTAACTGCCCCTCTGCTGGCCTGGTTGCTCCCTAACTGCCTCCCTGCTGGCCTGGTTGCCCTCTAACTGCCCCCCTGCTGGCCTGGTTGCTCCCTAACTGCCTCCCTGCCGGCCTGGTTGCCCTCTAACTGCCCCCCTGCTGGCCTGGTCGCCCCCTAACTGCTGCCACCCCCCACCCCCCGCCGGCCTGGTCACCCCTAACCGTCTCTGCCTCAGCCCCCACCACCGTGGCTATCTAATTAGCATATTACCCTTTTAGTATAGATAATTTAAAGTAACTGGGCTTGTTCAGTTTGGCAAACAGAATAAACTTTTCCCATGTGGAAAATACTTCATCCATCTCTTTCCTTCAAAACACTATGCAGAAGGCATCATTGTCTCTGCTGTAACTTATGGTGGTGGGCATGTGAGATGGGGTCCTGTCTTCTTGGGTGATGACAGTTCAGCCTATGCATAGTTCTCTACTGAGCTTTGTGGAGTGCTAATATGGTGCGTTTCCACACAAGTGGTGGAGAACATCTTGGCAGTATGCAGGAAGACATGAGGGAAGGAATGGTGTTTCCTGGACTTGGAGGTGTAGAATACACTCCACACTTGGCAAAGACAGGAAAATTATTGGTCCAGTCCCCTGAGTCATCAAGTATGTACTCTCCCATTACAGAAGATGTGTTTTCTTTGGAATTTAGAAAGTGCAAATTAGTCATAATTTCCTAATTCTGTGTTATAGCTGATTTGGTCTAGTTTTTAGTGAACCCTTTGGTGAGGCAATTTATATCAGCTGATTTCAGTTGGAATTAATGATTCCTGTAATGCAGGGGTAGGGAATGTATAAGGCCCTCGAAATCATTTGGTCTGTCCCTGCCAAGGCATATATATATCCTATATAATAAAAGGGTAATATGCAAATCAACCAAACAGTGGAACGACTGGTCGCTATGATGTGACTGACCACCCCTGGGCAGACACTCAACATAGGAGCTGTCTGCAGGCCCCAATTGCCCGGTTGGGGCCTGCCGGCCAACCTCTCAGGTTCCTTCCCCTGGCCATCAGGCTCCGATTGCCTAATGGTGAACAGGGAACCGGGGTTGGGTGGCAGCGGATGCTGGTGGCACCACACCAAGCCGCTCCCCCTCCTCCCCCGGTTGCCCCACACATAGAGGGCAATTCACGGCAGGGACAGGGCTTGCCAACGTCTTGGTCCCTCCCCTTGACCGGCAGGCTCTGATCGCCCGATGTGAACAGGGACCCAGGGGTGGGGGATGGGGCTGGCTGCCAGCAGCCAGGGAAGATTGCCCGGATTGCAGGCCAGGCCTAGAGACCATACCCATGCACGAATTTCATGCACCGGGCCTCAAGTGATGTTATAAGTATCCAAATGACACTTGGCAGAAAAAGGTTCCCCACCCCTGCTATAATGTTTAACAAGAATATCATCTGTATCTCTTCAGAGTCTAGTTGTCTTACATGAGTTACTCCCATTGCTCCCTCACTGTATCACCTAAAAAGGTGAAATTTTCTCTCATTGCCATTTCTGTTTCATTTTGTTCCATGTTCCTAATTCACATGTTCATACCTGGGAACCTCTTAGAAGCCCAGGCACGTAACACAGTTATACTTGTTAAAGAGATTGCACCTGTTGTTGTACATTCTGATGATTTCAGAAATCTAAGAAACATAACATACAGGTGAGTGTTGGCCCGACCAAACCCATAGGACTGGGGCAGCATTCATACTTCATGTAAAGCCCATCAGATGCTAAAAAATGTTAGACACCTACCTTCCAGAGGAAATCCCATCCTTAGGTCCTGTCATTGTGTACCTCTTGTGTCTGGGCAGTTGTTGCCTGTCTCTTTTGTCCCTAAAAATAGTGATGTAAATTTTTGTGAAGTCTTTCTCCTTAGAAATGCTTATCTTCTGAAAACATGAAGATCTATAAAAACCTGAAAATTGCTTTGAGATCATGGTGTCTATGCATAGCCTTCTAGGTTTGCTGAATTACAGAGACCATCATGGCTCCTGTTAGTTAGTGCAAGCTCTACTCCAAGGACTCATGATAGAGCAGAGTGAGGCTCAGCTCAGTGCCTGCACTATAATGAAGGAGAGTGGCTGACAGGCTGTCCAGAGGAGGCATGGGATTGCTGCCACCTCGTATCCATGTCATCCTTAATCTGCTCTCACATGAGTTCTAACAGATTTTCTCCAGATTCTGCTTCTGGAGGAAATGATCTTCCTGTTAGTATAAGTTTCTGGGGAGTATCAGCCCTTTGAAGTTAAGTGAGCCCCATGAGAGCATTGTATCCACTCAAAGTGGCTAACGTTCAACAAAAATACCACCTAAATAGAAACTTCATTTCCTTTCTGTTTCTTTATGCCTTCAGCCAAGGACCTGAACACCTACAAAATTACTTCTAGCTTATTAGAACAGGTTGATTGTTGTTTTTCAATGAAATTATATCATTGCCTTTTTCCTGAGAGCTTGGGCTTACGATTTACACTTGGATATTATTCTGCTGAATTTACTTTCTTGAAGTCAGGAATGTAATAATACCATATTTTTACTTAGGGATTTAAAAATACAGTGTTTCCATAAGTTTATTTTCAGACTAGAGGCCCGGTGCATGAAATTCGTGCACTTGGGGGGGGGGTGGTTCCCTCAGCCTGGCCTGCGTCCTCCCTCAGTCCAGGAGCTGTCAGTTGAACATCCTTAGCACTGCTGCAGAGACGGGAAAGGCTCCTGCCATGGCGCTCGTCAGCCGTGAGCCTGGCTTCTGGCTGAGTGGCGCTCGCCCTCCTCCTCCATTGAGCATCTGGCCCCTGGTGGTCAGTGCACATCCTAGCAACTGGTCATTCCACTGTTTGGTCAATTTGCATATTAGCCTTTTATTATATAGGACTAGGGGCCCGGTGCACGAAATTCGTGCACTGGGTGTGTGTGTGTGGGGGGGGTGTTCCTCAGCCCAGCCTGCCCCCTCTCACATACTGGGAGCCCTCAGGCGTTGACCCCCATCACCCTCCAATCGCAGGATCGGCCCCTTGCCCAGGCTTGACGCCTCTGATAGAGGCGTCAGGCCTGAGCAGGGGACCCTCATTTCCCCCCATCACTGGTTCTGCCCCCAGCCCAGGCCTGATGCCTCTGGCCCAGGCGTCAGGCCTGGGCAGGGGACCCCCAGACCCCTCCGATTGCTGGCTCTGCCCCTTGCCCAGGCCTGATGCCTCGGCCAGAGGCGTAGACCCCCATCACCCTCCGATCACCTGATCGGCCCCTTGCCCAGGCCTGACGCCTCCGCCAGAGGTGTCAGGCTTGGACAGGGGACCCCCATCTCCCCCCGATCACTGGCTCTGACCCCCGCCCAGGCCTGAAGCCTCTGGCCCAGGAATCATGCCTGGGCAGGGGACCCCCATCTCCCTCTGATCGGTTGCTCCACCCCCTGCCCAAGCCTGACGCCTCTGACCCAGGCTTCAGGCCTGGGCAAGGGGACCATCATATCCCCCCAACCCCCGGCTCCGCCCCCCACCCAGGCCTGATGCCTCAGCCAGAGGAGTTGACCCTCATCACCCTCCGATCACCAATCACCGGATCGGCCCCTTGACCAGGCCTGAGGCCTCCGGCAGAGGTGTCAGGCCTGGGCAGGGGACCCCCAGCTCGCCGCGGTTGCAGGCTCCGCCCCTGCCCAGGCCTAACGCCTCTGGCCTGGGCGTCCGGCCTAGGCAGCAGGGACCCGCAGCTGCAGCGGCCCCGTGATCGTGGGCTTCGCTTTAGGCCCAGGCAAGGGACCCCTAGCTCCCGGGACTGCCAGCTTCGACCGGGACTGCCAGCTTCGACCGTGCCCAGCTCCCATCGCTGGCTCCACCCCTACTTCCTGCTATCACTGGCCAGGGCGGCAAAGGCGCCTGATTCTCCAATCATGGCTGGGGGGCAGGGCAAAGGCGGCCCCAGGGCCGCCTTTGCCCTGCCCCCCACCTCTTAGCTCCCCCCTGGGTTTCCGATCACTGTCAGTGGCAGGGGGCTTCTTCCTGCTTTCCCTTTCGCCTCCCTGCATTGTGCCTACATATGCAAATTAGCCGCCATCTTTGTTGGCAGTTAACTGCCATCTCAGTTGGCAGTTAATTTGCATATAGCCCTGATTAGCCAATGAAAAAGGTAGTGCCATACGCCAATTACCATTTTTCTCTTTTATTAGTGTAGATAACTGACCTCCCCCCCTTTTTTTTGTTAAACCATTTTTTTCCCCTAATGGAAATCTTTCATATATAAGTTGTAGAAAGTTGGAAGAGTGGCCTTGTTTTTTGTTTTTTTGTGTTTTTTTTTTTAATTTTATTTTTTTTTTACGGAGAGGAAGGGAGAGGGATAGAGAGTTAGAAACATCGATGAGAGAGAAACACCGATCAGCTGCCTTCTGCACACTCCCCACTGGGGATGTGCCTGCAACCAAGGAACATGCCCTTGACCGGAATCGAACCTGGGACCCTTGAGTCTGCAGGCTGATGCTCTATCCACTGAGCCAAACCAGTTAGGGCTTTTTTTTGTTTTTTACTGTCTTTTATGACCTAAATTACACACTGTTTCATAATACAAAATTTGTATGGAGATGAATAGGTTAATGTCTAGACTCAGGCTACTCTGATTTTTGACAGTGGGGTCCAGTTGTTCCACAGCGTCTTCCTTGTCCATAGCTATCACTTTGCGGCTTACCTGTGTCCTGCACAGTCTGTGTCTGCCCACTGTACCAGGGACCAGAGGGTATTGGTCATAGAGAAGCAGCTCCGCACAGCAGTAACCTTTAAGCCTTAAGGGCTCAGCTTTATAGCTGTGCTCTCAGTGGTGGAAGTTGCCTTCTAAGTGACTTGACCTACTAAGTGACCTTTGATTAGGTGACAAAGTTGTTGTGGTCAGATTATGTTTGTATTTTCAGACAGATGTGGAAATCAAAGATTAGAGAACAGATTATTGCCTTACTATTCTGGTGTGTTTCTTAGCCCTGTACTGTCTACACTTGTGCGACTTTGTGGTGTTGTTCTTTTTCAGAGGAGTCAGACCCAATCTCCAACGCCACCAAAACCTCCATCCCCGAGTTTTGAATTGGGGCTGTCTAACTTTCCCCCGCTGCCTGGGGCAGCAGGCCACTTGAAGACTGAGGACTTGTTTGAAAACAGGCTGTCTAGCTTGCTGCTAGGATCAAAGGAAAGGGTAAGATACATGTCACAAGCTTAATTGTTGCTAGCATTTACTAAGCATTAATTTCCTAACAGGCACTGGGCTGAGCTCTTTACACAAACAATTTTTTCCACAGGCAGAGGAGGTTCAGAGAGGGTAAAGGATTTTCAGAGGCCACACAAATTTTGATTGGTACGGTCAAAGCTGAACCCAGGACTGGAGCCTGCCTCTTAGTTCCCAGTCTGCCAAGGTTCAAGGGAGAAGCCTGTGCCATGGTATGCAGTTTAGATGCTTTCTCTCACCCAGAAACTCAGATTGCATTTTTATTATTGCTATTCAGGACTTGCATTTATTTACCAGTCAGAAGAATAAAACAGAAAAACCTGGATTATACCAGAAGTAATACAATTTTTAGTAAACTACACGAATAACAAGAAGCCTGAAACAACTTTAATACTGGTGGCTTTTGGTGAGCTCTGTCGGCTCCAGACAAGCTGCTTTCAGTCCTATGTGATTACGATCCCAGGAATCAGCTTGTGCTACTGAAGTCACACAGAATTCTTTTCCAGCACTCCTTCTGGGATCTGCTATAGTTAATGAGGTACAGAGAGCTTTGTGCTGCTGCCAGGAGTAATCCCCGTATGTATTTTCCAGTGGAAACCCATTCCATATCATTCCCAGATGTCAGGCATCAGAACACCCTGCCCCTTGGATTGGAGAAGGCTGCATCTAGACCAGCCGTGGGCAAACTACGGCCCGCCGGATCCGGCCCATTTGAAATGAATAAAACTATTGAAAAAAAAGACCGTACCCTTTTATGTAATGATGTTTACTTTGAATTTATATTAGTTCACACAAACACTCCATCCATGCTTTTGTTCCGGCCCTCCGGTCCAGTTTAAGAACCCATTGTGGCCCTCGAGTCAAAAAGTTTGCCCACCCCTGATAGACTATCTACACGCAGGGCAACCTTGAAGCCCATCAGTCACCAAGCTGAGGCTTACATGGGATTTATAGCCAGTTTTTTCAGTCCTCTTTATGCTGGTATGTGATTACTGCTCCTGTTTTTAACCTTTAAGGTTATAATATCAATCACATATTAAACTTGTGCATTATTCTAAACTTTTAGAATAATGTTTTGTGTATTCTAAACTTTTTTAAAAATATGTTTGTATTGATTTTTGGATAAAGAGGGAGAGAGAGGGAGAGAGAGATAGAAACATTGATGAGAGAGACACATTAAACAGCTGCCTCCTGCATGCCCCTACTGGGGATCGAGCCCACAACCTGGGCATGTACCCTGACCAGGAATTGAGCCCAGGACCTCTTGGTCCATGGGACAATGCTAAGTCCTGTGAGCCACACCAGCCAGGCGCATTATTCTAAACTTTTAAATAGTAATTTCTGCGTTCTAAGTGCCTCATAGAACTAAGTGCATTTTAAAGATTGTGGTCTAGTTTTCAGACTGACTTTATTGCCCCCAGTGGTGGACAGAGCAAGCTGGCCTATCAATTATTCTTATATTTAAGTTTCTGTGTAAGATTTATTTGGAAGAAAGAATTGCTACTTTAAAAAAGTCAGAGCCTGATTCCATGGCCAGGTGAGAGCCTGCATCCCTGCTTATTTTGGGAGCACCTACAATAGTTTTTTCTATCTCTGTGACCCTTGAGATTCAGAGCTGGTGGGGAGGGGACTTTGCAACTGTGCAGGAGCTTGGGGAAGGCCTCACATTTGATGTGCTGGCCACATTCTGACTCCTTGCATTCCAGTGTGTTAGGATCAAACAGATCCTTGATAACAGATTTTCCAAAAAAGGAGGTATTTCCTTTTCCCACATTTCCACCAACCTTGAATACAAAGTAATAAAAGATGATGGTTCTCCGGGAGACTGCACGTGTCTGCTCACCCCTGCTGGAGGCAGAGGAGTATAGATGTTCCTGTTCTATTCCTCTCCTTCAGCACTTTTCTGTTTAGTTTAGTTCTGAACCTTTTGTCTACTTTGAAAAGTACAATTTTAGGAAATTTCTTTTTACACTTGATCTCCCTTCCAATTATTTATTTACTCTCTTGCCTTTCTTATTAATTGCACATCATGAAGAAGTCAGCGTGTATGAGCTGTCACTGTGTACAGGGGTGGGGTGGGTGTCAGTGGCTGGAGATCTGGTATCAGGCTTTGCTTTATGACCAGGGATGATTAATTTAAAAGTTCTGAGTTCAGCTTATTCCCCTGTTAATTGAGAAAGTTAACACATCACTCCCTGGGATTGTTTTTATGTTGTTATTTTTTTTTCTTTTTAAATGTTTTATTTTCTTATTTTTTAAATCTTTATTGTTGAGAGTATTACAGATGTCCCTCTTCTTTCCCACCATTGCTCCCCCCCCCCCCCCCAACCTGGTTCCTGCCCCGTCCCAGGCCTTCACCACCCTATTGTCTGTGTCCATAGGTAATGTATATATGCATATAAGATCTTTGGTTAATCACTTCCTGACTTCCCTCCCCCCTTTCCTCTGAGATTCATCAGTCTGTTCCATATTTCCATGCCTCTGATTCTATTTTTCTCACAAGTTAATTTTATTCACTAGGTTTCTTGTTCATTTATTTTGTTTTTTAGATTCAGTTGTTGATAGATATGTATTTACTGCCATTTTTATTGTTCATATTTTTTACCTTGTTTTCCCCTTCTTCTTCTTAAAGAATACTCTGCAACATTTCATGTAATACTGGTTTGGTGGTGATGAACTCCTTTAGCTTTCTCGTCTGTGTAGCTCTTTATCTGACCTTCGATTCTAAATGATAGCTTTGCTGGATAGAGTAATGTTGGTTATAGGTCCTTGCTATTCATCACTTTGAATATTTCTTGCCACTCACTTCTGGCCTGCATGGTTTCTGTTGAGAAATCAGCTGACAGTCCTATGGACACTCCCTTGTAGGTAATTAACTGCTTTTCTCTTGCTACTTTTATGATTCTCTCTTTGTCTTTAACCCTTGGCATTTTAATTATGATTTGTCTTGGTATGGGCCTCTTTGGGTTCCTCTTGTTTGGGACTCTCTGCACTTCCTAGGCTTATAAATTTATTTCTTTCACCAGGTAGAGGAAAATTTATGTCATTATTTCTTCAAATAGGTTTTCAATATCTTGTTCTCTCTCTTCTGGCACCCCCATAATTGAATGTTGGTACGCTTAAAGTTGTCCAAGAGACTATCTTCGTATTTTTTGATTCTTTTTTCTTTTCTTATTGGATGTTTTTGGTTCCTCATATTTCAAATTGTCGATTTGATTCTCGGAATCCTTTACTATTTAATCCCTGTAAATTATTTTTTATTTCAGTTAGTGTATGCTTAATTTCTGACTGGTCCTTTTTCATCTTTGACATTCTCATAAGGTCCTTGAAAGTCTCACTAAGCCCTTTGAAGCTCTAATGAAGATCTTTGAGCAGTCATATAACTGTGATTTTGAACTCTGAATCTAGTCATTTGCTTGCTTCCATTTCTTTCATTTGTGACCTGTTTCTTTGTCTCTGCATTTTGGCTGCTTCCCTGTGTTTGTTTCTGTGTATTAGGTAGAGCTGCTGTATCTTTTGGAATTGGTGGAGTGGCCTTATATAGTGGGTGTCCTGTAGGGCCCAGTGGCTCAGCCTCCTCAGTCACCTGAGCTGAGCACTCTAGGTGTGCCCCTGTGTGGGCTGTGTGCACAGTCTTGTAGTTGAGTCTTAATTGCTGTTGGCATCACTGGGAGGAATTGACCTCCAGGCCAATTGGCTGTGAGGACCAGCTGCAACTACAGTGGGAGAGCTGCTGTGCAGGAGAAACCACTCAGTCTGCCCCTTGAGTGTTTTGCTTGTGGATGTGTAGAGTTGTAATCTGGTGTGGTCTGAAGCTTTCCACCAGGTGCACTGGCTCTGGGGCCATCTGATAGGAGCTACAGAGAGCTCTGCATATGGCTGCTATTTGTATTGGGTTTAGAAGTGCCAAGGCGAGGCTCAGCTGTGAAGTAAGTCAGGCTGATGCTAGTGCTGGGTTTTCTATTGATACTTTAAGGTATGCTGACACCAGCTGTAGCTTGTTTGAGGGATTTTATGGAAGCCTGAGCCAGTACAGGCCAATTCATATGGAAAAGTGGTTGCAAACAAGCTTGGGTGGGGCTACAAATTGGATGGGGCAGGGTCTCAGGGAATCACCAGGGTGGAGTGAACATTGTGAGCCAGGCTGATGGAGACTCAGATATGGCTGCCAGTCAGCTCTGAGGTCCCAGCACAGGAACAGTGACCTCTGCGAGCACTGTTGTCTGGGAGAAAACTGCCCCCAGTTCCTGGTGCCATCCCAATGCCAGATAATCCAGTTCCTCCCCGTATGTGTCTGGATTCCCCAAAGCTGCCTGGTGCTGGAGTTCAGAGTCTGAGTAAGTTCATGCACTGGCCCTTTAAGAACACCTGGGTGTCCAGCAGCCTCCATGTCCCTCAGCCACAATCCCCATTGGTTTTTACAGCCAAAGTTAGGGGAACTTCTCTTCCCAGCTCTGGAACCCTGGGCTGGAGGTCTGGTTTGGGGCTGGCACCCCTTGCTCCTTATGGGCGATCTCCACAGGCCCTCCCGATTACATAAACTGCACATTTAGGTGTTACCTGCTTGGTCCACACCTCCTCCCCTCCTACCAGTCTCAGTGTGCTTTCTTCTCTACTTGTAGGACTTCCATTCATCCAGCTTTCAGGTGGTTCTGTATTTTAGTTAGAATTTTTTTAAAGCATTTTTTTTTATTGATTTCAGAGAGTAAGGGAGAGGGAGAGGGAAAAACATCAATGATGAGAAACAATCATTGATGGGCTACCTTCTGCCCACACTGGGGATTGAACCTGGAACCCTGGACATGTGCCCTGACGGGGAATCAAACCATGACTGATTGATAGGTAACTGCTCAACTGTTGAGCCATGTCAGCTGGGTGTTAGTTGTAATCCCATCTTCCCTGCAATTTTTTTTTTTTTAATGCAGGTGGAGTCAACTGTCAGCACCTGCACTCACTTCAAGACACTCCAAATTACGTTGATATGGAGGTGTTGGTGTTTTGGGTTTTTGTTGGTTTTATTGAATTGTGCTAGGAAGTCTACATTTAACAGGTATCTGTATTATGTACTAGGCTGTGCTAGGCACAGGGGTGTTGGAGATGAATAGGTGTTTTGGCAAAACAAGCTGGCAGATAATACGATGGAAGCACAGAAGAGGGCCAAAGACTATGAATGAGTTGCTGGGAGGGCAGATTTGGTCTCTGTTTCCTTTTCTGACTGCCCACCCTGCACAACAGCACCTACCTGGTGCCACAGGAATGAGGGTAGGCAGCTGTCTGAGTCAGTTGGGCTGGTACCCCTGTTGGTGTGTTGTAGATGAGAGATGTGACCCATGCTTCTCTACCTGACTGTAAACTCTGACTCCAATGATTTTCAGAGCCTCAGCGCAGACACAGGCACGAGCACTCTTCCCACAGCAACCTCCAGAGAGCCCTCAGGGCCAGTCTCCTGCACATTGTCTGTGGCCCATGAACGAACCCCTTCCCCCGACCACCTGCCCGAGTAAGTATAATCCTGCTGCCTCCTCCTGATCCACTGGGATTGCTGTTATGTGTGACTCATGTGTTCCGTGGCCTTTTCACAGGGACCCCAAGGTGGTGGAGAAGCCGAGGGAAGCCCTGAGTACAGACAGACTTACTTCCACCACCGCCAGTAAATCGGTGCAGGTGAACGGCACCACCACGGTAGGTGCCAGGGGCACGGGGCCGGAGGAAAGCAGCTCCTTCTCAAGTCAGCTCATTGTCAGCAGTCTGATTTGGTGGGCTTTTACTGCTTTGTGCAGTGTGCTTCCTGTGCAGGATACCTTGGATATGTGCTAATTGCTTATTTTTGTCACCACTGCCATGGGCTCTCTAGTGTCAGTTGAGGGGGCTTGTCCTTTTGAGTAATCTCAGAACTCCAGCTCCTGTTCCCCATAGGATACATGCTCCATCTGAGTGTGGCTGTTGCTCACGGGCACTGAGAACACAGAGGCACCTCGCCCTGCCCATCATGCCAAGTCCACCCCCTCCTTCCCTCCCTTCCCTCCAGGTGGACCCAGCCTATTCTGTTTTGTGTTTCCTCAGTTTGATCTTGGTGAGCTTTGTCATTTAGATTAAGGAGTTAAACCCTTACTGTTCACTATTTTGACTCTTTAAAGAAAAGACCTTTTTTTAGGTTAAAATTATTTTCAAGTTAACAAATGATTTATTTAACAAATAATTTTAACTGTTCTTTGGTTACTTAGCCTTAATGCTTCCATTTATCTGAAAACCTACTAAGTTTTTTTCCAAGTTTTTAACTCTCCCTTTCCTAAACCCACATGACCAGTCTATAGTTAGAAATGAATGCAAACATTTTAAAGACAATTCTGACGTTCATTTGTAATTTGGACTATTTGTAGGAAGCAAGGGCAGAGAAAGCTGGTGCTGTTCATGTCTTCTTGGGGCACCTGGTTTTCTAGGCCTCCTTTGGGGCCTCAGGTGGCTCAAGAATGCTTCAACTTGGAAGGAGTTCTGTCAGAACTTTACACATCAATGCCTTTCCTAGTTTTGCCTATTTTTATAAGATATTTCTAGAATTTCTTATTGGAAAAGTTGTGCTGCAGGGGAAACTACATTTTTTAAAATTTATGACATCTTTAAAAGTAAAAATATTTTTGAATGTGGGAATTGGTTACAGTTGAAAACATTTTTCTTTTTTTTTTTTTTAATCCTCACCTAAGGATATTTTTTCCATTGACTTTCAGAGGGAGGGTGGAGGAGAGAGAAACATTGATATAAGAGACACATTGATTGGTTGCCACCCGACCTGGGGCCGGAGATCAAACCCGAAACCCAGGTATGTGCCTTTGGGAATTGAGCCTGTGACCCTTTGGTCCACAGGCCGACGCTCTAATCCCCGAGCAACACTGACCAGGGCAAAAAAAATGTTTTTTTACCTTAGAAGAACAGTATTTTCACCTGTTGCCCCTAGAGATGAGATGTCTTGTTCTGCATGTAATTAATCCCAGAGCTGTGTCTTTTCCCAGGAACTGCGAAAACCCAGCTACGCCGAGATTTGCCAGAGGACAAGTAGAGAGCCTTCATCCTCCCCATTGCCACCCCCAAAAGAACAAAAGCCAAACACTGTTGGTTGTGGGAAGGAAGAAAAGAAGCTGGTGGAGAGAGAGCTCCCTGTCCCCAAGTCCAACCAAGGACTACCCAGTGACCAGAGAAGGCCACCGGGCCGCCGGCCCTCACCCCCGCCTGCAGGGAAGCATTCACACAGAGAACAGAGCTCCCCTCCCAGGTCCCCTCAGTGAGCGCCGAGGTCAGGGAGGGCTGTGAGGAGCTGAGGTCGCCACAACTAAGCACTGTCCCACTCGGTACCGAGAATGAGCCGCTGGTTAGGAGCTTGCAGTGTAGACAAGGCCCATGAGATGCCTGCAAGTTATTTTCTTCTCAGTCGGATGTTCCCCCCCCTTGAAAAAATCTATTTTTCAGGATTTAATTAATATAAACCTTATTTTAGGTTGGTGCTTAACTGGAGGTGATGCATAAGTCTGATTTTTTTCAGGATAGAAAATGCATTTATCCTAACAAATTGATATTTTTTATTAAGCCTCCATGTGGCTATGAATGCAAGCTATAAATAGTGAGTTTTTCTAAATTAAGCGGAACTGTGCTACTTTATTTTTTAAAATAACTGGTTAGCAAGTACATATCTCTAAGGATGTCAGACCAACAGGCAAACGGGCGAAGCTGAGGGCTGTGGGTATAGCCTGGAGAAGGGATGGGTCAGAGGATACCACACACTGGCCTGGGCCGTGTACTTATTCAGAATCCTAACAAGTGATCCTAACTTTTTGTAAAAAGTACAGTCCATTTTTTATCTACTGGGCAGAATAAATCTGCAGAGAGCCCCTGAGAGCCTAAAACCTTGAGTTTCCATGCACTGCAAGCAAGTAACCAGCTCCTCACTCCAGTCTCAGTGGCTATTATGTAAGATAAATTCAAAGCACATTGTGAATAGAACTTAAATGAAAACATAAACTTTGTTGCCCACTGACATGTTACCATGACATTGTACCCTGGTGGTGGTTTGTTCCCATGAGCTGGCGGGAGGGCTGGAAGCCCATAGGGCTCCCAAGCCTCCCACACATTAGCCGGCTTCCATGGGCGCCTCCCTGTACCTCCGCATCGGCGCACGGACTGAACATTACTTAATCGTGAGAGAATATGTTTGTGGTGCCCTGTGGTGGTGGAGGATAAGAATTCCCGCTCTCTTTACCTCCAAGATGAGGGTCTCACTGATTCCCTTCTGGAAGTGCTGCACTCTGAACCCGCATGCACTAAAGCTAGCAGTTTATAATAAAGTTAAATATAAATTATTTTCTTTTAAAATGCCTAAATTTTTTCTTTAAGTATTCTGAGCAGCAGACAGTAAACTAAGAGTCTTTCCTGCTAAATGTAACCATACAAGTTTATTCCACAAAATGTTATTTAACAAGACTGAAGGTTTTTTTAAAAAAAGTTATTTCCATCCAATATTTAAAGACTTGAATTTTATTTAAACTTGAAAATGACTTTGCCTTAACTTTTGTATAAGACAGCGTAGAGTTCCTGGAGACCGGCCCCTGGGTTGGCGTGAGTGGATTGCAGTTACTCAGTGATGTGGGATCTACTGGCGCTAGTTTTACTGAGTAAACGTACTAGAGTATGAGAACTAGCCGTCATGTTTGTAATATACCTTGAAGATCTTACACAGTTGATCTTTTTTCAGATTGTTGAAAAATCCTGTAAATGCAAATAGTCGATACTGTATTAAATATGTGCACTTGGGAGTGTGTGCTTTGCTTGTACAGTTGTAAATAATCAGAACATATTAAAAAGGTACCCTAAAGAGAAAAATCTGATAAAAATTATTGATATATTATAAATGTTGCTATTGAGCTGGATGTAGATAAACTAAATGTTGTGGTTTGAATATTATTTTAATTTGTTGAGGTTTTTCTTCCCATTTAAACTGGTGTGTTGAGCTGATTCTGCCGCTTTGCTACTGCAGAGGGAAGTGGACAGTCTCATGAAAGCCTTTGGATGTGTCCATGCTCTTCCTAAAAGTATGTAAATATGTGTTAATCATAGCTGGTGTGAAAGGGTTTTTGAAGTGTAATGTAGAAAGCAGAAACTGGCAGTATCTTCCAGGGAAGTGAAAAATAATCTACTACTGAAAATCACAGGTAGCCCAGCCTGATTTACCTTGCCAGAGGAAAACGCCCTCCTCAGAGCAGCCAGCATCCTTTAAACACCTAAAAGTACACCGCAGTGCTAATATTGTGCAAATGCCTGTAAAAGGAACATGGAAATTATTTCTTTGTGGTTGCCAGATAGCTGATGAAAAAATCAGAAATAACTGACCTCTTCTGCCCGAACTAATGAGTCCCATAAAGAGAGTTGGAAAGGTAAGCTCCAAGCCTAGGAATTCTTAGTGTTGTTATCTCTGCTGGAGGAGGGAACCACGGTCATCCCCAAATGATATAATGACAAAGCCTTTCTGTGAGGCAGTGCCTGCTGGTGAGTGGAGAGCCCAGCAGCTGCATGCAGGATGAAGGTGGTCACTGACCAGTCACGGCGTGGTGAGGCATGCGCTTCAGCGACCGCTCCCACAGCCAGTCTGTAGCATCCAGAATTGAAACGTTGCTCTGATGGATTTTTATAACATCCATTTTAATTAAGCAAAGTGATATGCCAAATAACTGTATAATGTCCTAAAAACCTTCCTGATACTATCCTTTAGAATGAGTTGGCACAACAGGAACCTGTGATGCAAATGGCTAGTAGTATATGGCTTTGTACATTTTAAAAAATGTAACTTTTTCCCCAGCAGTATTTTGAGGTATAGAATCAGAGATACAACGATCACAAATGACATTTTAACTTGTACAATCGTGTGATGATGATACTTTGGAAATACAGGAATCTGGCCCCATTTCTACAGATATGAATTTAAGTATTGTAGTTGCTTCTTAAAGAGTTAGTGTCATGATATTTCTGATCAGGCCCTCCCCTGTAGGCTCATCACCAGCTGTCACTAGCTGTAGTCAGGAGCGCTGCAGGTTATGTTTCTCACAAGGTAAGCAGGTGAGGAGGGTGTGAGCTGTCGGTAGAGGTTACACAGAAAGCAGCAGACAATCGAAGACTGAAGGAGAGCCAACAGATGCCAGTTCACAAAACAGGAGCTTTCTTGAGGATTTTTATTTTTGTTCTATTTTCATTAAGACTGGAATCAAGCTTATGTGTAACTATTGGTAATTTAAGTTTCCTTTGTGTCATTCAGTGTAAAACTGTCTAATTTGAAAAAATGTAGGTTATGAAAAATAAAGATTTAGGCACTGTTCAATTTTTCTTTTGATTTTTTTTAAAAATTAAAATATTCTTTGAGTGTATCTTTTTAAAAATAACTTTTTCTGAATTCCCATCTGTGTACATGAGAATGAAATACAAATTTGTTCCAACTTGTGTTTGAATTATAAAGGCTTCTTAGCACACATGTGAATGATCTGCAGCATGAGGGTCGGCTTAATGTTTGAAGGTACTCAGAGCGAACGTTGAAATTAACTATTCATGAGGAAACTGTTCATTAAGCCCAAGATTTACCATAAAAGTAAATATCCCTGTGTCAGGATCTTTTATTTCTTGTGTTAAAAGGCCATGTCTCATGAGTTGTGTTCATAAAGTCACTCAGAGTCGATGTTGTGGTTGTGTGGTTTTCAAACCATAAGTGAGCCTCAAAAACAAAGTAGTTGGTCTATGCTTAAACAGTGGTGATACCAACACTAGTAAAAGGCTGAAGGTAGATGAAAATTCTAAGTATATTATTACTTTAGTGGACAGTCGATTAGTTGTTAATTGACCAATTTTCTTTCATGAATTGCCTGTTCATATCCTTTTTTCATTTTTCTACTAGGTTATCTTTTTCTTATTGACTTGGTTTTTTTTTTTAATCTGTTTTGGCTATTCTTTGTCCATTTATATGTTATAAATATGTTCTCAGTCTGTACTAGTTGTCTTAACTTTATTTTAGAGTATTTCTTATTTTACAGTTTTTTAATTATGTAAATGTATCAATCATCTCCTTTAGGTTCAAGCATCTTGCTCTTGTTTATGAAATCTTTCCTCACTTCAGAGTCAATCTCTTTTTATATATATTTATGTCTTTAGTCCATCTGGAGTTCATTGATCTGTGTGTATGTGTGTGTATGGTCTGAGGTAAGAACCCAACTTCACTTTCCCATCATATGGAAAGTTTCTTTTTCCTGTATCATTAATTAGTTCCTTATTTCTCCACTGATGTGTAAAGCCACTCTTGTTACAGAGTTCCCACATATGCATGCATCTTTACTTGGCTCTCATTCTATGTTCTGTTTCCTTGCTGACACCATAGAATACCATCCACCCATTATTCTGTGTTCCAAAGTATTTCCTTTGTAGAACTCATCATAATGACAACAAAATGTGCTCTGTGAAGGCAGGAATTAGGCCCATCTGGATCACGATTGTGCCCCCTGTCCTTTGTACACTGTGACATAGTAGATGCTCAATAAATATTTGTCAAATTTATGAAATATTTATTGAGTATGTATTCTCCATGCGCAGCACCGGCCTATGAAATGAAAAAAAAAAACACAGGGTGATACATTAATTGCTATTTCAGCATAGCCACACCAAAACTCGGTGGCTTAAAATGACAGTCATACATGGAGATTTGGCTGATGTGGCCTCGGTAAGGCTGCACTTGCTCACAGGTGTGTGCATGGGCTGCTCTGGGCCTTTTTGTGGGGGGATCACACACTGCTGTTCACCTCTACATTTCGTCTTTGGGCCACCAGGGAGGCATGCCCTCTTGTCCTCTTGTCTATACCTACCCTTTTAGGGCAGACTCCTGCAGGTCCATAACTCTACACTTCATCAAATGTGGGTGATTCCACAGCACCTGAAATCCAAGCCTACCTGGGGATCAGCAACGATCATGTCACTGAAGAGGAAGCTCAAGATGTCCCTAGGGACCTGTGCCCTTTCCTCTCTCTCCTGCCGTCTCAGGGTCAGCTTTGTCCTCGGAACAGGATGCTGCAGGAGCCATGTTAATATCTAGGGAGGAAAAGGCTATTCTGTGGCATTTAGGAATTACGCCAAACCAAACGTAAATTTCACATTTCATTGGCCAGAGTGAGGACCTGTGTCTATTCTTGAAACTGATTGCTTTCAGACCATTTAGGTCGGGTAGGCCAGGGAGGGCGGGGCCCCAGACAGGTTGAGACTCGCTCTGTTAGGAAAGGGGAGGCAGCCACCAACTGCCCACTGAATGCAGCCCCTCAGGCTCCAGGCTTCTGTATCACATTTGTGTTGTGTGGCCACCTGAATTTAGTCAATATTTCAGAACTGCCACATTCAAGGTAGATCTTTTGTTTCCTGCACAACACACTATTTCAGCTGGTATCAGTTACTCCACTCAACAGCTGGAGTAACCATTTCTTCCTATATCTAATCCAACACTCCTGTCATCACCTTTACATTCATAAGACACCCTGAGCCTCCCATCATTCTGCTTAGTCGTCACCTCTTAAAAGCCTCTTAACTGGCCTCCAGGCCACTGACATCCCCAGCCCCCTTCAGCCACAGGGGTCCTCCTTAAGTGTTCCCTGGCATAAACCCTGTGACTGATCCCATGGTGCAAAATGAAGTCCAAACAGCATTGTGCAGGTCACTCGCCAGGGAGCTGCCCAATTTCAGGTCTGCTGCTGGTTGGCCCTTAATCCCTGCACTTAGTCTCCAGCTGCTCATCACACCCAGCTGCTCCACTTCAGTGTTTCCCTGGCTTGGATACCTTCTCCCACCTCTGGCTGACTGCTCTTCCTATCACACAAGTTCTGTTCACACGCTGGCTCTTCACAGAGCCTGTCCCTGAGCCCAGCCCAAGGCTCTCAGCTTATTTGCATCTCATCTAATTTGTTTACTTGCTTTTGGCCCAAATTCCCTGTCTCCCCAATGTCTGGAGAGTGGTTCTGCCCACTATGGGTGTCTCATAAATCCATTCATGTATTAAGCAAGCAGTCCGGTGACAAAACCTGTGTTGTCCCACATCTTGACACCTGCATGCTTAAGGCCACCAAAGTTTCATGTGCCCCAGACCTTAAACTGTCAGCTGACCGTCACTGTGCGGGCGTCTAAAAGGCAACACAGCCGAATTTCTGACACTTCCTCAACAATCTCCCTTCAAGCGGTGACAGCCCTATGAGTCCACTCCTTGGACCCAAACCTAGGACTCACCCTTCACTGCTCTCTCTCCTGTCCCACATCAGGAAATCAGGACATGAGCTGCCTCCTGTGGATCAATGCAGTAAGTGCCGCTTTTACGCTTTTACGCCCTTCTGTCCTTTCTCACGGCACCACAGCCCACCTCCTGGCGTGACCTGGATGACATGAAGAGTCCTCAGATTCAGTGGGCCCTGCGTGCATCCAGCCTCCTGACCACTGATTAACTTCTACCTGCCCACCCTTCCTGCTGCTTTCCTCACAGTCCCCATCACTACCAAACAGAAGGTTTCTGGGTCTGGTTTGCTGTCTGCTGGCCTCCCTGCGAATACACACTTCTTTAGGTCACAGAGTGAATTTGGGGGCGGTTGGGGGAGAGGAGGTGTCTATATTGTTTAGTGCTGTTTTTCCAGAGCCTGGAAATGTTTAAAAAGCCCTTAAAAGAAAAATCCACTTTTCAAAAATTAATGTTTATTTAAAACATACTTCTATTTTTCATACTTGTTATGCCAGTGGGTGGGACCATGAAGCCACAGCCGCCTTCCAAGGAGCCATCCTGCCCCGTTTCTGCCCTGCGCAGCCTGGGCCTGGCTCTGTCCAGCCCGAGGACCACAGGTGTTCCCACTTTCTCAATAGGGTTGTGTGTAGTGCTGGGTGTCATCGTTTGAGGTTTCCACCCTGCGTTCACCTTCAGCCTCATGGGATCACCCAGAGCTCTTGTGGGAGCTCAGGATCCTGAACCTCACCTGGTTCTGACGCTGAAATAGTGGCTCCGGCCTGAGACAGGCATTCAGGTTTATTGTCTAGCACTGTGTCATTCATGGTGGATGTGACCCAACCAAGTCTGTCCGAGACAGCTATGGTGCCTGCACATGTGTGCACACACACGTGCACACATGCACACGCACACACACACAGGCGCACACATAGGCTTCCTGTGCGTTCCGCAGCATTGCCTAATATGGAGGAGCTCCACACCGGAAGCACCAGGATCACCAGGCACTGAGTTGCCCAGGAGACTGGCGCACTCAGCCCGGTGCAGGGGATCCTGCAGGCTCCTTGGCAGGCTGTTCCCTCTGTGCCTGCAGCTCTGCTGACAGTTCAGTGTCCTCACCCTTCCTTTCCCTGCATGAAGGCTCACACATCATGTGCAGGCCTCTCACAGCAGCTCCCCAGGCTAGCTCCCTAGGATCCTGGAGGTCCCAGACCAGCTGAACAGCTTCCCACGGACTGGTGGACCCAGGGCTATCAGCCTCCCTGTCTGTCCTTGAGCCTGGCCAGAGTGTGTCTTGTGAGACCTGGAGTCCTGGCTCCCAGCGACACACACCATTGCCAGCAGGTAAGGGCCCATCTCTGAGCCAACAGTACTTCTGGGGACTTGGTGACTCACACCCTGGCCGGCCACAGCAGCTCTGGAGCACCCCCAGTGGTGGCCTGGCCTCGGATGAGGGGCGCAGGGTGGCATGACCCTGGGAACTCTAGGGTTGAGGGCAGCTGGGGGAGGTCCAGCCCAGATCCTCAGACGTGGGTGTAAGGCTTGGTGAGCCAGCCTGGAAAGGGAGAATTTACGAGGAAAATAACGGGAGGTGGCACCATACCTGAGGTGGCTGTGTGACTGTCCGTGTGAGGGTGACCCCTGAGACCACGTTTCCTAAGAGGGGGAACTAAAGGGTTCCTTTCTTCAAGTTGAGATATAATTGACATCAACATTGATATTTGTGTATATTGTGAAACAGTCACCATAATAAGTCTAGGTAACTTCCATCATATCACATAGTTAACAAATTTTGTGTGTGATAATTAAGATTTACTCTCTTAGCAACTTTCAAATACAGCAGAACCTTAACATTGTTTTGTTCAATGCTGTTCTGTTGTAACACTGATGAGGAAAAAATACCGCTTCCCGGTGGGGCTGCTGTCTGTGCAGAGTTTGCAGATTCTCCCCATGTCTGTGGGGGTTTCTCTGGGGACCCCAATTTCCTCTCAGATCTCAAAGATGCACATGTGAGGCAAATGTCGTGTCCACAGTGTCCCCATCTGAGTGTGGGTGTGAGTGGCCCTGCCTTGCAGGGTCTCCTATGAGGATGG